ATGGATGGATGGATGGATGGATGGATGGATGGATGGATGGATGGATGGATGGATGGATGGATGGATGGAAAGTCCAATTAAATAAGCCACTCACACTAAATTATGGCCCAATCACTTTTAAGAACCATTGGCGTTTTCAGTATGACAATCCATTCATCCATTTTCTACACTCATTGTGTCCATACAGAGCACAGGGGACTCTAGGCAGCACACCAGACAACCATGCACACACACACACAAACAACTTTGTATTTATATCCATGTTAAGACTTTACATTTACCGACATTCATTTAGGTTACTGCATTTATGGCCAACCCAGACATTTAGTCAAGCCATTATCATTTTCAGTATATTCCAAACCTAAACCTAAAGTTAATACACAACATACCTCTAAAATGACTCCCTATAGTTAAAACTAGGGGTACGCCACATTTTTAAACTCCCACACAGGCCTGTTGGTTCTCAGATGCTTTGTAAATATACCAAAAATAGTCCTAAATAGGTAACATCAACAAGTACACAAACAAACACACTCACGTTTCTCTATCCTTTTGGAGGCTTTCCATTGACTTCTATTTAGTTCTAACCCATTTCTACAGCCTGTCACCTTATCCTAAGCATAAAACCTAACCCTAAAGCAGAACTTGTACCCATGGGAACTAGGCTTTAATCCTGACGAAAGCAGTCCGTCCCCACAATGTGCTATGGTTTATGGAAAATGGGCCACAAGATGCAAAAAATACACACACACAGACATCTAGTCAAAGTTGGTGTAGCCATATTACGTAGAACTCATTGTTCAAAAGGAAAGAATTAAAAGGATGCAGGTACAAGAAGAACATGCTAACTGCAGAGACTTACTCCGGAGCAGGACACGTCCAAAGACGGTGTGATCGCGTTCCAGGGTGCTGCAGTTCCATCGATGGTGTCTGAACTGATGTTGACACTCTCTGATCCACTCCTTGGTGCCCTCTCCGATGGCCTGCATGATGTCTGGGTGGCGCTGGCAGAGCTGCCGCTGTTTGTTTACCAGGCCTGGGATGTTGTCACAGATTACACGAGCCCCAAGAGCACCAATGTACCTAAGAGACACAAGAAGGTTAAGAGGCATGTATTACATGACTAATAAACTTCTTTGTTGTTTTTATAATGCATCATGAAATACTCAAGAAACAATAAATGGTAAAGATCCACAATTGGCTGCTATAGTTTTGGCTTAAATGTGTGTTTTCAAGAGCACGCAAAGAGGTGAGTGGCATGAAGAAGAGCTTCAGAAAAAGCCCCCCGTGAGCTCACTACACTTAACAGTTTAAGGTTTGAGAGTAGGAGGGGAGTGGAAACCATTTACTCCACTCTCCAAATAAATAAGCACTTAACCTCTCCCCACAAGACCTGTGAGTGTATGTGTGTTTATACGTTACCCAGCAGGACAGTTGAAATCATCTTGTCACAAATCAGAGGTAAAAGTCTGGGACCTCCAATAACTCTGTCAAACTTAGAGCCCGTTTACTCGCTCTATTCTCTTCTGCCTTTCGCTTTATTGCTTTTATCTTGCCAGAGGGTTCTTCAAATGTCAAAATAAAGCTGACTTTTACAGTATTTTCTATTCATTATCTTGAAGATACTTTGTCAGGCTTGCCCAAAGTTAACTTCTAATTGTGACCTTTTTGCATCTTTATATGAGACGTCTTCCAGATATGTGGCTGCAGGAGCTTTGATCGTTCAAAGAGGGAAGGCAAAGGAGTGTATAGCTTTATTGCCTTATTTTATATGGCTGAGCTTGACAATAGTCTTATGAGACTCAAGCAAAGGGAGAACAACTGCATTCTCTTTTAAGGTAAATTGAAACAGCGTTTTCACTCTTAATTTTCTCAGTTTTACTCACTGAAAACTTGTAGACAGTAAATATGTGCCAAGAGATCTAACATGACATGTTGTTAAATTTGAGAGAGTACCAGGGCACTAACAGGAAGACTTGAGGTGCAGAACTTAACTGGTCACTGAAATTGTTTGGTTTTCAATTCGGCTTAGCTTGCGTGTCAAAAATCAGTTTGAAAACCCAAAAAGCTTTTGTTTTGTTGTTTTTATTGAATATTGGATCTCAGCATATTGTCAGCATATGTCTGCACATGCAAATCCCATGCATTGACAATACTCTTCAGTGTCGAAGATATTCACAAAAGAAAACGGTTACTCTAAAGAATTCATTGCTCCTACAGTATTGTGAAATTTTTTTTATTGTACTTCTGCAAGATATACCTCAAGAAACTAAAATGTATAGCTCTGAAAAAACAGAATTCAAATATCATATCAGATATTCTCTGTTGATCTGGAGGAAGAAGGCAAAGGGAAGCATTGGGAGGTATTTTAAATATCAAAGCACAGTTAGTTGTGAACCCCCAAACTCTACAGTCTTACAGTTCTCACAGGTAAATATCTGTATTTAAAGGTATAGTGGAGAATTTTCTTGCATTTTTGAAATGACCTGACCTCTCCTCTTAAAAAAAAAGCACATGCACAACCTTGTGCCCTCCCAAGAGGGAACGTCTATTAAACATGTGCGAGAGCATGCATCAGCCCATTTCTCTGAGTGCTCGCTCTTTTTAAAAGTTGCTGTTTGCATCGCTCATACAAGCTTACTTTTGAAAAGAGGATTTGCTATTTTTCCACTATGTCAGACTCACCACCGGTAAGTGAAAATAGCTACAAGCATGTAGGACATCCTGACTTAAACATATTACCAGACTGATTGACAATTAGGTTGACCACTTATTTTGATGATCCACTTGGAAAAAGAACATCCTCCGCTATACTTTAAGGGTAAATAGTAAAGAGATGTTGGAGAAACTGCCCCTCCCTCGCCAAGGATGGTGCACTCCCATTAAGGGGAAGGGTAGGGAAAGGGAAACCTATTGTTGAGAAGGGGTAATTCTTCATGTAATTTGGCTGTTTGGAAATATGTCATGGAAAACGAAGATTGTCATGGAAACGAAAGACTATCAAAGTCAAACCTACTCAAAGTACTTATATTGCTTTAATTAAAATTGACTGACAATCCACAACTGGAGCTTCTGTAAAGCAGGCTGAGGAGAATTGGCTAACCAAATTGCTTAAATTGTATTGCTATAGCTCAGAACAGAAACAGTAGTACTCTGGGTTGCCATATGTATAACAAAAACTTTGGTCAGGTTGTAAATGTTTCTTTTCTGGACAATTATCCATAAAAAGGAAATAGACTTATATTTACCTCAACTGATAATCAAAGTAGTTTGATATATGTAATTCATTTCATGCTTTTTTAACTCATCTTTCTGCAGAATTCTTTAGTCTCTTAATATATAAATATATTTAATATCAACTATTTGCTCAACTACCGGTATTCCCAATAAACTACTCAAACTGTTAGAAACTCGAGCATTACCATTCAACCTGCCCACGCACAGGCCCCTCTCCTATATAAACAGACTATTTTTCTCATGCAACTAATATGTGATCTCTAATGTTGGTAAAGTCATTTACATGTGTGACGCACATAGAGGCAGAGGTGGCAGCAGCAGCTACCTGCAGGGTGGATTAATGACTGGAGTCTGCTGCTCCAGCTGAGCTGCACACGCACGTTCAGCCAAAGACGCAGAGATGAATTACGCGCAGCGCGTGGTAATATTATTACCATTATTATTAATATTGCTCAACGCAGCAGGGCCAACAAACTGAAATGGAGACAATCATAAAAACGGCCGACTCTCATTCACAAACTCATAATTTCTTTCACACTCCCCGCCGTGTTTCTTGGCTCCTATTGTTGGAATAACGTCATTAAGAATTGAAATGAAATTATGACTGTAAAACACCATGAGTGTTTTTGCTTCCATTTACCCGTGAAATACCACTTTTGTAGTTTAAGTTTTCAGAAGCTAGAACATTATACATTTGAATGAAATTACTAGAAAATGCAGTGATAATAAAGTAAAAAAAATAAAGTTAAACTTTATTCTGTTTCCAAAATACATAAAAATTAGTTACCTTATTATTTCATTCATTTCAATGCACCTGTCCCCTGTTGGTTTTTGTATTTCAGTTTCTTCAACATATTTTTTTTTATATTTCTCATCAATTTTAAGGAAATCTTTCTGATGGATGTGCACTCACCACCATGAAGAATCCACGCGTGGGGTCACGAGCAGCAGCAGTAATAGACACGCACAGTACATCCTTGAATTGGCACCTTGGTTCCGACATGAGAGTCCAGCTCCTGAGGAAGCAGCGCGCTGAATCCGAGCTGCGCGCAGGCCAGGAATCCTCCTTAAACCCAGCATGGCTTCTGTCTTTTTGCCCCTCCGGTGAAGAAGGGTAAGGAGAGATAAATCCTTACTCCAGATTGAAGAGCTTGTTATTTTGTTTTGAGTTATAGAGTTAAAAAGTTAAAGGTGTCGTTATCCAGATTTTGATTGCGGGGTGCGCGCCTGTCAGCAGATAGAGGAGCTCATTTGTGGAACCATGTGCGCACCAGAGTCTCCTCTGGGAACTTCTGGATGCCAATCGGGAGCCTTACCTGACCCAAACGGCGAGAAGCCCCCTATACCCGATTCTTCCTTTTCTTATTCAATATTTTTTTCCTTTCTTAAGTGAGGATAGTGTCCGAGAATTAGAGCAGGAGTAAAAGTTTGCAGAGTTTGAGTGTCCGCTTCCTAGCCTTCTGTGGGACTCTCTGCTGGGTCGGATGCTCTCCTTTATTGGCGCACGTTGGATAAAAATCCGAGTTGAGAGGGAGAGGAGGAGAGAGGGAGAAGATGAGGGAGGGCTTGCTGTGGACAGCTTCCTTTTCTCATTGGGTGGAAGAAGAGGTTACAGGGTTTGACTAAGCAGGAGATGTTTAAAAGGAGGGAAGGTGAACTCTTAAGGATGATTAGGCTGCTGATGTGAAGGTTTGTATAGTTTATCTGAAATTTACTACTTAATAAGCTTAAGTATATATAAAAAAAGATTAGAACCAACACACAAATATTTGTCATAAATATATTTCATTTTAAAGAATATTAAATGACAACAGGTCAACGTTATAAAAAAAATAGTTCAACACATTATCTTGGGATTTTTTTAAATAAACAACTCAAAGTCACTTATTGTGAATAACAGAGGATGAGGGTTACATAGTTTTTGATTTCTGAAATAAAACTGCATGCAACTGCAATTTTACAACCCAGCTTGTGCACAATTGTAGCTGAATATTGTGACTAATGTTCTTTAAAAAGGAGACAGGACCTTTTGGGAAGAACAGTTTTCATGTCTTCCTATTACATCTAAACCAAAGCAGTGAGCCCAATAAAATACATAGCTGTTGCTGTTCTTATTGGTTCAAAATGTAAGGATATCATTGCATTGCAATATTCTTATACATCAACTTACTAGCAACATAAAAAAACCAACAACATATTTTTCAGATTCAGAATGTTGGTGCTTTTATGTTTCAGAGAATCGTGTCAGATTTACTCTAAAAGAAGAGAAAAAGTAAAATATTCTTTCTGTTCTATACTTGATTATCAACCTGATTGCATGACAGGCCATGTCTGATTCAAGGAACAGAGTAGACAGGCCACGGCAATTTTGAGAAGACAAAAATGGTGGAGATGCCAGCAAAATGACAGCAAGAATCACTACAGCAGCACAAAAACAAAGCAAAACAACCATAAGAGCAAATGTCATGGAAATTGAAGCAAGCCCTTACATGCCCCATGCTTTTTAAGGCTAAAATGTGAGGAAAAAATAGAGAACAGTGCCAACATGTCCACTGAAATAGCACCATGGCCTAAACAGGAACCATATGTTTAAGGCAGAATGCTGAGACAGTGGTCAAACACATACACATTATTTTTCTCAGCTCAACCATGCTTACCTTCTGAAACTTTATTGGTTTATTTAGATCATCTCTGAACTCTTCTACATCAAATTTTGGATTATTCCGTTCCTCGAAGAGCATCTGAGAAATCACAGACTAAAACACACACTTGCCTTTTTTGACGGACTTAACAGCATCTGAACTCCTGCACTCCTGTAATACTTAGTTAGTTGATTCAGCTGACCTCATTAATGCTAATGAACAAGCAAACAAAGGAGTAAAATCCCTGCCGGAATTGAAACTATTAGATTACGGAAAGCTTTTGCAAAGTGCTACTTCTAAAAAAACACTTAAGAAAACAGCCCAGTATTTATGCCAAAGCAAGTGTTAAAGCTAAGCTTCTTAGAAACTTTGGTGTTTCTGCTTATAGCTCGACCAGACAGGTCAAGGCTGACAGATTGAAAAAACTAATTTTGACCACCTTAACGGACAGATTTGGAGAATATTTGTACGCAGCAGCTTGGCACAGTTTTCTGCTAAATCAAAAGGAATTAAGGAAGTACAAACACATTGAGTTATGCTCTCCCTCCCAGGGCCAGACCTGGAACTCCTGTGTCTTTCTCCTCGCCAGTTAGCTTGACTCCAGGTTTTTCTCCATAAACAATAATAGAGTCAAGTGCCTCCCTGTCAGACAGATGAAACGTTTACTGTGATATGCTGGATCCAATATGACAGCTGTCTCTGCAGAGGAAAACTACTTATTGGGGATGCATTTTTATTTGTTTTTATTAACTATGTATTGGAGGGAAAGAGGGATAAAGGGGAAATTTACAGTGACATAAGATTTAACATTAGAATTACTGAGGATTATATTCAAATGCGGTTGCAGTTAGGAATATGTGAATGAACTTGAGGCATTTTGTCCAGGTGGAAGAGTTGGACTAATAGCTCAGTAATGTGTCCTCTGTGGGGATTATGTTTTGGGATACCATGAGTCACTGGTCCAAAGATGAGCTCAGTGGGTATTCATATCCCCTCGAGCATGGGGACTGGACTGGTTCCCTGTACTATCGTGACAAAAAGTGAAGAAGGAAAGGTTAATATTTTTAAATGTAAGTCTTTTAGCCAGTGTGTAATAATTTGGAACTAATTGAAGAACAATTTGTGCCCATGTTTTCACTTCATGGCGGATGTTTTGTTGTTTTTATATTTTCCTTCCTTATGATTCCATCTATTTTGTCCATCAGTCACTGCTAAACACCCTCATACACCCTCAAAACATGATTCTGCCACCCCTGTACATCTCAGTGGGATGCTATCTACTTTTCTTATCATTTATAAATAGTTATCTTGATTTAAAAAAAAAAACCTGAAAGTTTTCACACCACGGGACATATCTCCAAAGAATTGTGATATTTGACCCAGAGTGAATTTGCAAACTGTTGTCTGTCTTTTTATATTGCTTTTAGAGTTTTGTTCTCACTAAAGGACCAATTGACCCATAAAAGTACATGCTTTATTTCACTGTGGGTAATAACAACCCTCCTACCTGATTCAGCCAACACCTTCACCAGTTTTGTGCTGTTTTTCTGTGCTACACATATTCATATGGAATATGAAACAAATGGAATACTTGCAAGCCTTTCTCAAAACAAATTTCAAATGGTAACCCATGTTTTTATGAGGAAATAAAAAAAAAAGCTTTCATAATTATATCTTATCCTAATTATTATGGTAATTAGCTTATAATTCTGATAACAAATCTAATACCATAAAGGTTCTTATTCCGTTCAATTTTATAATGTTTATGCTTCCACTGTAGCAGAAATGCAGAGAGTGATTAAACTTGGGCAAAATTTCTGTTTTATAAATTAGCTGTACTTATAGAATAGCAAGAACTGAATCAGATAATCATTTCATTAAAATCATTGGACATTGTATATTTGTGAAACTAATGTAAAGTTAGAATGCATCAGGATCTACAAGTTAACTTTGATTTTGTTCATGATAACTTTCCATATATTTTCTTAATTTGGTGTTTGCCATACTGGATTGTTTATTTTTTACTGGCTGTTTTCTAGTTTTCTAGTTTTTTTTTTTTTATTATTCTCTTGGGAATTTCTTTCCATTTTTAGGTGGATTTGTCTTTACTTTTTTCTGGTCTTCATTATTGTTGGGATGATTTTCTTAGTTCCTTCCTCCCATTTTTTCCTGTCTAATAATTTCTCCATCAGCCAGAGCCTTCTGTTGGTTCATAGATTCCATTCACCTATGTCTCCTCTTTTACTCATTGTTTCCACCTGTTAATCCATTACAACGCTTCAGTTTGCCATCAGTATTCATTGTGTCCTTGCTTTGCTTCATGTCTCTACACTTTTTTCCTCTACTTCTGTTGCCATTATTTCATTAAATTATCATAACTTACCATGCTGCTTCCAAGTGTCGGTCTGCACTTTTGTCCTGGGCACTCGAACATGACACACAGACCTTAAAGATATTTAGTCCTCTGTGTCGAGCAGGTCCTAGTTTGTGTGCCAGAGCCTCAATAATTTATTGTCTTGTAAATTTAGATCTGCCGACAGAGATAAAGCACATTGAATAAATACAGTGCCCCTGAAACTCCAGAAGCTTCTAAACAGATTGGCTGGCATTTAAAGACATCATCTGAGCTTGTTGTCAACTACATTTCACCTGAAATTTTTAATTTTAGAAATCTCATACATAGAATAAAATAAAAAATAACAACAATTTAGAGTCACATGCTAGACTATATACACTCATGTTACGTCATGGTTAGCTTCTATGGGAGGGATGCATTCCATACTTGCAATCCTTTCTAACTTTATTATTAGAATAGCCTGCCATCAATAGATTTGACAAAACTTGTGAACACAAAATCAGTCCAAGGATTTGATCCTGATAACTCTCCCACTGAAATTACTGGGTTAACTCGGGTTTTTCAAAAACTGGTCAACCTGCTAACAATCGACGTTTGGCTACATTTCCCATTGGCAAAAAAGCTGGGTCTGACCCCATGCTGGCAAGCTGTGTGGCCTCTATGCCCCTAATGCTGCATGTCTGGTGACACCATCATGCTTGGTTAGCGTTGATGATGTCACGAGTGCGACAGTATTTAGGAAAGTGAATATCTGAGAGCAAAATGGAAAGAAGCCAGGGTGTATTAAGTGTTCATTATAGTTCCTTCTTTTGTCCTTTTAAATCTCTCTCACCAGTGCTGCGCCATGTTTTTTCCAATGTAAGCTGAGTTGTTTTGGTTTGTTTGATCTGACACGACTTGCACAGTGAGTTGACGCCTGTACGGGTTTTCATAAATTAGCGTGTTGACCCAGGTCTGATGTTCCCACTGCCTGACTATCGGAACCAAGATGTTTGAAGGCGATTCTAACATGGATCTCTTCCGTGTCGTTTGAGACAGTTCAATGCATGTCTGTGAGCTGTTTCTACAACCACTAGAGGTCAATTGTTCCCGGGTTTAAACAGGTTTTTTGGCCAGTAGGAAAGTGGTGTAACGGAAGATTAAGGTATTGCTGGAAAATGTCGTCATGTTTCAACGGTCTGAAACATCCATCACCATGCACCACCATCTCACACTCATACATGCTCTCAGTAGTACAGACAACATCTATGAGTATTAAGACCACATTACCCTTTTTAAGACTTTTAGTATCCCAAGCACTTTTCTGGAAAATGTACAAAACATAAATAAAGAGTGTAACAAGTTAAAGGTTTTTCTTTAGATGTTGTGCACTTAACTAAACTGAGAGAGTCAACCAAACAAAATAA